AGGCTGGTCAACTCTGCGTACGTGAAACTCGACTTTCCAGAGAGCACTGGCGGCCACCAGATGCCCTCGTGCTTAGTTGCTGCAACCGCCCTCAATATTCCGAATCTGCGCCGTGGCGTGGCTCTTCCAGCCGAGGAGCTTGAATCCTCGAGGGCCTCTTTGTCTACCTGTCAACAGGGGCTCCAGTCCGTGTTTGACAAGGCTGGAAAGGCGGCCAAAGGACGTGGCAAAAGAAGCGAGATTCAAATGGTCTCCGCCCACCCTCGGCTGCCACCTCGGAGGTTTCCTGAGACTGGCAGTCCAAGAACTGGTACCTCCGAGGCAAGAGCACGCAGCAAACAGGATGAAAGTTTAGACAGGCAAAACGCGAGGGAGAGGTGCAGGAATAGCTCCACTATCAGCTTTCGCGGTTTTGTGGAACAGAGAGCTGCAACAGGCTTGCCTGAGCTGCGTGTAAGTCCGGTTTTCCGGATCAAGCTCGATGGCATTCCCAATGTACCTTCACCACGGATGCACCAATCCAGGGCATGATGTGTACAGCACAGCGCTTTTCGACCCTCGACGGGGGGCACTCCAACGCTTTGTTTGAGTCATTGAGGTACGCATGGAGTGTTGCAAGATTGGCGAAACAGACCTGAGTCCCGCAAACGGGACTCAAACCCAGTCTTTGCTGGGAACTTCGTCCGAATGCAATGCAGTCTGCAGCAATGCCCTAAGGCCACCCGATTCCAATGCATGTCCCAAGCAGGTAGACTAAGCTCACCTGGACCCATCCAGCGAAACCCCAACAGCAACTCATTAGAACAACCGGCCGTCCAATGCGAAGGTCCGAGCATGAAGAGCTGGATCCAGAGACACCTTGCTTGCTGCACGCGGTTCAACAAGAACAGGGTCGAGTAGAAAGAAAGGCGGTTCAAAGGATGCAATCACCGCACCTACGTGCATAAGGGAGACAACCCCAAATGAGCATCTGAGACAGTAACAAGCTCCCTAGACTGGTTTCGACTTGCAGAACCCTATTGCTCCTGCGGCTTGCAGACTGACTCGTACTGTGTCCGCTTTTGAACACGAGTGCACTCCACCCACCCTACGCCAAACTCCCCATCCTTGAGGCCTCAGGCAAGAGCCAAGGGCCCCCCAAGGTATCACATGCTTCTAATGGTTGGTGCTGAGCCTCGGATCGGAAACTCCGCTTGGACACGAGCCGTATAGACAAAGCTTGCCCGCTCTCCACACTCTGCCCGCGCTTGCGCGGTTGAGATAGAGGTGATTTCCCCAAACGCTGTGGGCACTGCGTTTGCAACCTCGACACTTAGACCCTGCCTTAAGCCTCGGATGCCACTATCCCCAATCCTGAACATCCCCCAACCCTAAACTCGAAGAAAACCTTGTTCGGGCCTTGACGCTTGGTCTGTGTTTTGTTGATTGCCGTCGTGCTCCATCTTCAGCGTGCTTGCATTTGTTCTTTGCTGCTCTTCTTCTGGTACTGGCTTTCCGCTTGCCCTCTCAACTCTCCGGTGGTCGCGTTCAGCTTGCTCTTTGCTTCTTGCGGTCGGCTTTTCAGCCTCCTCTGTTGACCGTGTGCTTTCGATTGAATGCTGTTGTGCCTTGTTCTTATCCGCTTTGTGCATCATTATCATCATCAGGGCTTAGTTACGAAGTACCAAGGTCTTAAGACTAGACACATCAGGGCCTTTTAAGCTTCGGGAAGTTTTCGCAAAAGACTAGGTGCAGTATGCCGAAACGAAGCAGGCTAAATGTGTCTTCTGTTGCAGGGGGTTACAGCAACACGAACCCGAACCAGCTTCTTGGTGCCACACAGCTCGCTTGTAGCTCTCGATGGCTTCCGGGACTTGGTCCAAGGACCTTACGATTTTTTTTTTGGCAGTCTGGAAGGCTTCGCTAGGCTGGGCGGGCTGTACACTACGACAGCGTAAGCTGCAGCAAAATGACACTATCGCCGACCCTGCCCTCTTGATCATGCAGTACATTGGGCAGAAAGAAAAACCCTGCAAATTGCGGTATGCAAGAGAAGGCAGACCTACAGCGACACCGGCCCGCATAGGTCTGACAGGGTGGCGAGTGCTGAGGGCTTAAGGCCGCTAGGCCATTCATGCTTGCTACTGCAGACATGCACACACATTTGTCATATGTCTGGGGAGCCGACTGCATGGCGACACCCAGGTGTGCCCACACCTGCACTAGACAGGAGCAGCTTCATGCAGTCATGATCTGTGGACAGCCAGCGCACGCAAAGGCCACAAGAGAACCTCGGCCGTGATCACTGCGCCACTGGTACCCGGCAGGCCGAGTCCCGACTCCTGTGAACTTGCGGAGTGGGGCATCAGGCCGGTGGCGAAGGTCGCCCCGATCTAATTGCAGTCTTTCTGCTCACGGCATTCTTTAAAAAAGCCACGATGCCTGCCTGCAGAACCTCCAGCGTTCGACGGAATAGCGGCACTGCCTGTGATGCTGTGGCACAACCTGCTTGCTCGGCACAGCTGCCTTCTATCATCACAAACCAGGCCTCAGAAAAACGTTGGCGCTGACAGAGTGCCTCAGACAAGACCCACATTGCAGTGTAGGCATCCCGACTAAGACACCTCATATTTGCATTCAGCAGTATGCACTGGTTGAAGCTGCACCAGATGATGGAAAGCGCAGCTTTACGTGCTCTACGTATAGTGTCCCTTGCAGCCTTGCAAGGGCCCGGTGTGAGGGGGTTGGGAGGGTCGCCGAACTTGCAGCAAATTTGGCTGGTTCGGACCCCAAGCAACCTGAAGAGTAGGGTGCAGAGATGCTTTCAATATCGGGGGGGAAGCGAGAGGCTAAAAGGGATTTGTTCGGTTATGGGCAAGCAGGTGGGGCACAGGCTCTGGGAGGAGTGTCTTTACGTGCGTTTCGGCCTGGTCAAAACAGCGTTGCCAGGACACTTCTGTTTGGACCTCAAATGGCCTGCGGCCTGCTCAAAACACAGGTGTTTGATGAGTTGACAGCTTATGCTGGGTGGGGACGGGCGGCGAGGGGGGCTCTAGTATGGTGTAAAAGGGCAGATGACTGAATCGCAGCTTTACGTTTGGTGTCCCTGGCGCTTCAATAACGGCCGGGAAATGACTTGAGAAGGATAGGGCAGCGAGAGGAGGATACAACGGTGCGGGGGAGGCTGTGAGAGGGCGGGGCGGCGAGGGGCTCTAGTATGGGGTAGGGCAGCCGGGAGCAGGGAAAAGCTGCTCATTGGTGGGCGGCTGAGTTGACAGTTGAAGGGGGGTGGGGGAGGCAAGGACTCTAGCATGCGGGGGTATGGGGGTATGGGGGTGTGGGCAAGCGGGCAGGGGGGGAACGTAGACGTCTTGCGAAGGAGGGCCGGGAAGGGTCTGATAATTGGACCTCACGTGGACGATACGGGTGGTTGGTGAGTTGACTAGCATGAAGGGGCAGAGTTGGTTGTACGGGTACGTTTTGCTGACGGAGTGTCTTCGGGTCCGTTTCTGCCTCGTCAAGACAGCCTTGCCAGGACACTTCTGCACAAGTGCTTGATGAGTTGGAGGGGCGGGGCGGGTAAAGGAGCAGATTTGGAGGGTGGGGTGTACGGGCAAGCCGGGGAGTCGAGGAGGGGACATAGATAGAAACAGCTTGCCAGGACATTTGTGTTTGGACCTCTAGTATGAGGTGCTCCGGCGGTGCAGCTAAAGGCACACCGGCAAGAAGGGGGGGGACGGGATGGGGGTATGGGCAGGCCGGATGCGTTGCTTTGAAGAAATCCGGGAGGGCTCTGAGAGGAGTGTGGCGCTTTCCGTTTGGTCCGAACTGCAGGCAGTACCCCGCCTCCGCCTGCTGGAAACATTCCTGCGCCACTATCGCACGCTGCTTGCCACATGACGCTCCAAGTGTGGAAGCACTGGCTAGGCTATTTCTCCATCCTGCGCGGCCAATGGCAGCGCACCTTGGCGGCCACCAGACCTCGATTTTGCACCGTCCAAAAGTAGGCTCACGTAACTGCTTTACATCTTCCAGCTGTTCAGTCACCAGCAGATGTCGACAATCACGAAAGACAAACCCTGCCCTACGAGACAATCATGGAACACGATCAGCATGCTTCACCATGTGAAACATCAGAAAACAGGTCAAGCCTGACTTGCTAGATCAATTCACGTAAGGCATGTAGACACATCATCTTGGTCGGGAACAAATGTCCGTTCTTCTCACCACCGGTCTCCTGGAACGTTGTGCTACTCCAGTATCTACGCCTCCATCAAGCAACGCAGACTTGACTTGCACAGATCAGGAGCTTCTCAAGTGCTGAACATGCTTCGTTGACTGCGGCTAGATCACAAAAATGAGCGCAACCCACGGCAAGCGGATGTCCTTGTGCACGCCTGCTTGCAGTGGATGTGTTCTTGTATGAGGCAGTGTTGCATCATGTGCAGAATCGAAATTTACAAGAGGTCTGGCCTGCATTTGGAGGGTGGTCTCCGTTGGGTTTCCATGGGACCTTGTGGATGACACGGAACAACGGGGCTTCGGTGATTCAGGCTGCAAGCTAACATTTATGAGAACCTCTGAGGCCGCGGCCCCCCGGCGAGGAGGACTCGACCTAATACAAACCAAGTCGCAAGGCTGGAAGGACTCTTTTCCTCGCATCGTGGACCCTACTTGCTGAGAACGCGACACTGCTGCTCCCTCGGGCAATGGCCGAAGCTGAATGTCAGCAGCCTAGACTAGACATCTTGATTCAGGGAGGATCTTACAAATCTGCAAACAGTCGTTGGTGCAGCACGCAGCACGACCAGCCTGTTGGGCTGTTGCATGCCGTGTTCGTGTTCGACAGCTTGCCACTGTCAGAGCAGTTTGGTGCTGCTGTAATTAGCCAAGCTAGTGCAGTGAGAACTCGGCAAACAGCAGCTGTTTCTGGGGAGGTCTGGGCGCCCTGCAACAGGAGCTTCTCTGCGTGAAAGGGCATCGCGAACCTGAAGAGGACATCTTCGCAGAAGGCAAAACTATCAGGCCCGCATCTCTCTCCCCGCCTTCTTCAAGGCGGAGTCTCCAACCTGCCGAGCCGATTCGAACGAAAGCCACCCGACTGAAAAAATCGACTGCACAACATATGCAGCTACTTGGACCTGAGACGAAGAAGACAGGAGACGTCGGAGACGACTTAGATATGCTTGTCAAGGTTCTTTCCAACTCGTGATGGCACGACACCCTGCTTAGCAACACTCCACTGAACAGGTTCCTCCTCAGGTCGTTCCGACATACTCTATTCCCGCTTTGGTGGCTCCCGGGGTAAAGCCACAAGCTTAGTGGCCCAATTGTCCATAATCATATCTGCTAAGCGATGTCAGCACACTTCCATGGACTGCCAGCAAGAAGCAAGAACGAGCCTCTTGGCCGAGTGACGTGGCTGCTGCCACCGCCTGAGCCTGAAGGCATCTGGCTGCTACTTTACAAGGACATCTCACAACGATTTCAAGAACTTCAAACGCCCCGAACAGCGAGTGACAATGCCTCTTCCCAGAGTTGATTGACGTCGCCTTTGAAGCCAACCGATCGAGCATACCTGCACATAACATCTGTGGCGCTCTTTACTCTGCGGCACAGGCTGCGGTGTCGCCCTTTCACAGCTGCGGACGCTCCGAAGTCGCGCTCCAACTCGGCCAAGGACGGCTGGCCCTGCTGGCCCTGCTGGCCCTGTCAGGGGAGCGCCAGGCAAAAGCACGCACGCCAACGGTGAAAGAATTGCCCGGAGATGCACTCCTTGGTCGCTGCTTGAGGCTCGCTGGGAGCATTCGTGCTGGGATCCTCTGCGCTGCTGTAAGACTGTAAGCGTCAAGTGCGGGGGACAAATCCGCACGTCCCAACAGCGCACCTTGGTGCGGGAGATCTTGGCCTCGTTCAAGGCCTTCTCCCGGGCTGCAAGCCTCTCCTGGTGAGACGAATTGCAGGCTGCAGGCTGGTATGATCGCGGGTGGGAACATCCACTGCACGCTCTCACCGCAATCGCACAATAGCATTCTCCTGGATTTCGTCCAACGCAGAAATGACGCTGGTTTTGCCTCCGGGCACAGCTCCTCAAAGCGTCGGGACTCGATTGCATTCTGGACAAGCACATGCCCCTTCCGAGCCCGACGACGCAACTTGCCACACGGGCTTCGCCAATGCTTCGAATCAGGCAACCAAGACTGCTGTTGTGATGATCCTTGCTCACAGATGCTCACCATACATTTACAATCCAGAGCCTCCCAGCTTTACAGACTACTCGCTTCTGGGTGCTGAGGAACCACTTGCCTGCATTTGCCACACGTCCAGCTTCGGGCTTTGCCGGTGGCGGCTGGTTCTCATCGTCCTGCTTTGAAGCAGCGCTACATGACAATGCTTCCTGGCCACACACACACACACACACACAAAATCTTGCAGCACAAGAAGAGCAGCTAGCCTCCAGAACTGCGGAGAAGCCTGCACTGCCTGGGTGAAAAAGTGTTGGTGATTTCGTGTCTGGCCTGTGGCCGAGCACGAGAAGCAGGAAGCAGCAAAGACAATCTTTGTTGTATATTTGTTACAGAGCAGTTGCGACTGCCTAGGCATCTGCCTTCGGTACCAGTATACTCGCATAGTCTATCACCATTTCGTGTAGAAGATGCAACTGTCGGGGTTGCATGTTTGCCGTGGCACGTGCTCTGCTTCGTAAGCCGAGCGGCGACTGCCTGGCCGTCGCTTGCGCTCGCGCTCCAAGTGGCGCCTTTCGGAGAACTCGCGATGGAAGCACCGAGTGAACTGCTTGCCTATGCTTGATTGCTTGATTCGAAGGAGAAAACCGATAACATTTCTTATCCAAGGAAGCACCTGGCCGTCTCTGACTCCTGGAGCTCCTCCTGCCAAACTCGCTACACCAGGACGGATGAGAGCCTCTGCAGCGTGTGACGGTCCTCCAACCGCTTCAACCGAAGGAGCAGCTCCAGTGGCTCGTTCTTCTGCACCTGAAGAAATCTCTGGAAAGTGGTGCCGGGTGAAGCAGTCTACCGCCTCCTGGAGCTCTTCTCGCAGACGCTTCATCTCCTTCTGCAGCTCCTGCAAAGCTCGCTCTGACTCCGCTGACCCAACTTCGTCGGGCGCACCCGCGAAGCATGACACGTAAATAGAACGCCAAACCACCCGAAAAGCAACGTCACAACTGCAGCATTGAAGGCAGGGAAGAGTTCCACCATGTTCACAGTGCTGCGGGACTCACACCAGTGCATAAGGTCTTGCCGACTCTCCTCCACCAGCCGCCGGCTTTCCCCTGACGGCAAGAAGAATCGCCACAGCAAGCAGCTGGATTTTGTACGGGGATGGCCTTGGGCAGCGCTCAGGCGCTCCACTTGAGCATCGCTCGCAGCCTGGCCCACAGGATCGGAAAGGTGTCGATGCACTGTGCCAATGTGTGCCGATCAATGCCTGACATGCAAGCCTTCATGATCCTTCATGTGTCACGTGGCCTTGTCTGCACGCGAAGCACAAAGGTCCTGTTGCGAATACAGGCGAGGCAACAGCTTCTCTCTTCGCAGGCTTAGAAATCAATCACATTGCGACCACGTCGGTCTCGTGGCAAGCAAGCTGTACGTTCCGGTATGCCCGGTATGCATTGGCAATCACCTCCTTTCATGCTCCTTCCAGCTTGCTGTAATGTTGCAAGTGTCTTGCTCTAGACGACCAAACCTGTCAAATGCAAAGAGGGTCGCTCGGCTTGCAGTCCTTCTCCAGAACCTCAGCGTGCTTCTGCCAGGCAACGGCCTGTGGCTGATTGCTCCTAGACGGACTTCCCTGATAGAATCCGTTGCCCGAGAATTGCCACTGCCGTCTTGTATCACATTCCTTGCAGATCCACACGAGGAAGCACAAGAGGGAAGCCTCGCCCTCTTTGGCTTGCCAAGATGCCTGGGACTGGGATGCAGCGAAGGACTGTGGCAGCTGGCGTGTCATAGTGTCTCCGGTCTGCCGCAGCCCGGCCTGTGCAGCACAGAACTTGGCCTCGAGCTCCTTGCGCATGGCCTCGGGTAATCTCGGGTTTAACACGTGCTTCCCACAAGTCCCAAGCCGAAGCTCGCAACACATGTCTTCAAGGCTTCTCGGTTAGATCGGTTAGATGGACGATAACGATCAGAATGAAAGTTGTAGCTTGTAGCCGCTTGGGACCTTGAAAGACGCAGCGCCGCGATTTCTGAGCAGTGAAACAAACACTTTTACATGCAGACTAGGGAAGCTAACCCTACTGACAAGGGGTACCAGCCCTGATGGCTTTCCGCGCAAAAGCCGCGCCTGCTCGGTTTGAAGGAGCTGGGCCTGCTCTGCCTTTCAGCCACCGGTGGATGGAGGGGTCTAATGCAAGCTGTAATCGTTACTAGGAGACAGCGCACCGGATCAAAGGACAGTTCCATGGAATCCTAAATCTCGCGAAACGGCCAACCCTAAAACAACATAATGAGGCTGTGGCAAATGTAATATTTAGGGTCTAGGGTCTGACGTGTCAAGTTGCACCTAGAGTGCCTATGGGACGACGGTCTTTGCATTGCAGAGCCGAGCACCCCTGTGCGCTAGGTTTCCAACACCGTTGCCTTCAGGGTCTTTGCACTTGTCTTACAGACAGGTTGTGTTGCATTCTCGTTGCTGCGACGATGATGATAATACTGGTTTCTGGTGGTGACTAGGATAATGTTCCAAATGATTCAATCGATACCACCGATAGTGATGACGGTTATGACATAGCCATTTTCAAAATCACCAGGATGATGAGATTGATGATCATCCTGTCATGGACATGATACTGACGAAGGTGATGCTGTAAGCATGGTCATGGCCCACCCAACGACGCATGTTATGCACGTAATCTGCATTTCAATCAGTTGTTCCAGACGTTTGCTGGCTGTAGACTTGGAAAGCACAATGAAACTGCATGCCTCCTGGCATGCTCCATTTATGTCAAGTTGCGGTATCCGTAGAATTCCCCCGCAAGTGGCTTGAGGGCTGATTCCAACCAAGGAACTGCGCTTACCAGCTGCGCGCGATGCTTGGCATGCAGCTGGTCAAACTGCTTGGACCTTGCCGATCCAAACAACATTGGCTAGGATGACTTGGCTGATCACACAACTTTTTGCAAGCATAGGTGGGATACTGGCTTATGGAGCTTCGGCTGATCGAAGCAAACTACAAGTTTGATTTGAATTATCGATAGCCACAGCCTGACCAGCTCCTGCGGTGCAGCAAGTTGAGGCCAGGGCAGGCCAGTCAGGTCCCGCCTTGCCATGGGACGACGACAGAAACGTGCCATGTATTCAAAGAGCATGGCAGTGTCCCCGGACAAGCCGCAGGATGGGCGACAATCGGCGAACTAGCTTGCCAGGAAGCCCGAAAGACAAGTAGTGCGTGAGATTGCAGGACACCTGAAGACATGCGAGTCGAAGGGAATGCACCTGCTCCTGTGGAGTGAACCGATTGAGCAACTGGTACAGGCTACTGCCCACCAGCTGCAACACGGCTGCGATGCTACCTTCTGACTGACTTTGCGATGCTGACTCGATCCTGTTTTGTCGGCTGGTTGAACCAGCCACGAACAATAGCAATAGCAACAGCTGTAAGTGCACGACAAGGTGAGAAACAGTTCACACCAATCGGCCCGTTGCACAGCTCAGAGTCTGTTTTTGTGGAGCTGTCAAACTTGAAAGATCTGAACCGAAAGATCTGCCAGCACAGGGATTGCACAACGCAGAGCATGGACCGTCTAGCACAGGCTGTACAGGCTGGTGGGCAGGCAGGGCGCCCCAAGTGATTTTCAGCAGTACTCAGTGCCGCACAGGAGATCCGTCTCTTTGGATTCGTCTGCGAGCAAGGCCTGTGATGTGTTGCGGGCGGTCAGCATGTGGCATGTCACGGCATGTCTTCTGAGCATCTCCGGCCTCAAGCTGCTTTGCGGCGATTCGCAGCTGCTCCTATCGCAAGCTGCGCAAGCTGTCGCTGTGAGGCGGCTGAGGAACTGCGCACTTTGATTTTCGCGGCCTCGACGGCCTCCTTCTCTGCCTCAGATTTCCCGATGATCAATGCTGCAGCACGCATGCTACATCTTTACATTTAGAAAGCCATCTACCTTGCATGAGTTGCCAGGATTTGCAGTCTGATGCACACTCGCTAGCTGCATCAGAGAAACTTGAAGCACCCGCTGCGTCTCAACTCTGCCTTTCAGCTTGGCCTGCTCTGCTGGCACTGTCACGAAAGCGCACACAACGGGACGGCTTGACCAGAGATTCCACAGCAATCCGCCACGCCCCTGCGAAACCCAACAGTTTAGACCTGCTTGCAGTTAATGCACAGCCTCCAGCATTCTGATGCGCCGTTCGGCACCAGAAAGCTTTCCTTTGAGATGATCCTGGCCACGCGATGCGACGTCATGGCCAAATAGTTCAGGTGAAACCACCGGCATGAAGCTACTTACACGACCGGCAGTGATTGTGCTGGCAGAGTGCAGCCTTCTCTTCCAGCTGCTGTTGCTGCTGCGTGGCGATGTCGAGCTGCAACCTGCCCGGGCACTTCCACAGGCGTCCCCAGTCGAGACGCCCGCGACTTATGCGACGAACCCACAACACTGCACACCTACACCATCGACAGAGTTCATGCATTTGCGCTGTCCTGCAGACTTCTACAGAAACGTGCAAGCACGGGAGGTGGACAGCTCAGGCACCTTTCCAAGTCCGCCTGATGTGCCCGGGCTTGGCGAGTGATTTCCTGCCAAACTAGCGAACGTCGAGGATGAGTCTTGGAAAGGCTACACATAGAACCATATTGCTAGTATTTTCCAATGTTCCTTTGCACATCTGTCATGCCGGTCCGTCACCCATCAGTAAGTGACTACATCCCGCCATTCAGACAGATGTACAGGCCAGGAGAGAAAGGACTAAAAGTGTCAAACCTCCCCATCAAGGTCAAGTGCATGACAAAAAAACTTCTCCAGCCTGCTGGTGTTCCTCCACACGCTCTTCTGCACGGCGCTTTGCCTGACGGTGCTTTTTCTGCACAGGCCGTGCAGTCGGAAAGCAGCAGGACTAAGAACATCTGACCACCTTTCTAGCTGATGCTTTCCATGTGGGTGGCACTCTTGCCCTGGAACTTGCCTGGGAGAGCGATTTCATTCGCTGCTTCATGTCTGCGAGAGCTGCCTGACAGGCACTCTTGGACATCTGCTGGGAACGGACTCAAAGCTCAGAAGCCACTGGCTGTGATCTTGCGCCAAGCTACGACATGTTCACGAGAGCTATATAAGTTCAGGTCGAATCCTACACCGTCGCTTGTGACCACACTGCAAAGCGATCTTCTCCTGCAGTACACCTTTCGAGTGGCCTCAGCCTCCTGGGATGCCGAGCCATTCCCTGTGCTGCCTTGAAAACGGCAAGTGCTCAACCGAAGGCGAGCTAGATGCAGCTAGATGAGCCTTCGACCTGTCCACTGTCTCTCTATCCTTCTTCATAAAGGCTTCTCACATGGAACTTGAGCGCATCGCTAAGGAGCTGATTCCGCTCCAGCTCTAGATCCTCCAAATTGTGCGAAGAATCGGGCAAAGCACGTCTACTCGGAAAGGAAGAAGGCAGGCAGTTGATCGACGACAACAAGAACACAGGACAAAGGACACAAGATCACGCAAGATCTGAACTCCCTTCCTGGTTGTGCTCCCGCAGCCTCGGTGGAGTCCGGAAAATCAAATTGAGCATGACATCAGACAACACTGGCCGAGCTGACCCCGTTCTCTGCAAGTTAGGAGGCAGTGTGTCTGACTTCATCTGAAGGCTGCCGGGAATGCCGAAGAGAACAAAGCTGTTCCAGCAGGCTCAAACAATCTGAAGCACTCTTCCCAACTGCTTGATACCTGACGTAAAATACTTTCATATCCCAAAACGTACGTGGGAAGACCACTGAGCCGACTGAAATGCCGTGAGCATCGAGCTTGATGAGCTCCTTCTGGAGGCCAGCCATCTTAGACTGCACCTCACTGACGGTGACCTCGGACCGTGGACTTCAGCACAGGGCCTCTGCTTCCAATTTCTAGGGTTTTCGCATCTGTCGCATTGGCCACCGCAGCTCGCCGCCTCGAGATCCGGAGCATGTCGACAGGTTGAAATCCGGTGCGACTTGCCAGAGAACCACGTGCCTCATGGTTGGCGATCCACCGCCCGCCCGCAGCTCGGTGTTCCTCTGCACAGCTGGTTTTTGTGAGCTTGCTTCAGCGGAGTTGCGTTGTCGCAGAAGATGCACAAGTCACCGAGAGCCTGCGACCTTCTCAGACCGCGGCTCCCGTGCAAGCGAGGCCAGAGTCTGCGACAGCCCGGCGAAAGCACGAGTAACCAATGCCTCGCCAAAACTGCATAAGCTTTTCGCGCTTGGGTTTCGAATCTTAATTTGTGAGCTCTTGTCTTTGGGCTCGCTTTAGTTCAATGATTGGGTTGGGAGTCGAGGTTGCCTGAATCACAAAGCTTACGAAGCTTGTAATCCGAAAACTTCACCGAACCACATGACCGGTCAGAGCGCGGTATGCAAAAAACATGCAGGTTCCGTGCCAACAAATGCATGACGTCATCAAAGTTGTTCCTGAAATTGCTGCCGACCCATAAACAATCTGATAGCAAGCTCGATAGTACAAGTGCTGGATTGTAGTGGTAGTGGGATGCGAACAACGTCGGAAAACAAATTAAACTCTAAAACGAAATGGACCGATTCAGAAAAGCTCGCAAAAAATGTTCGGAGAGCACGGGAGACGAAACCGGAAAACATGTGTGCAAAAACACAGGGAGCGATTCAGGAAAAACTTCGAGACTTCAAACGACAGCCCAGGAAAGAAACAAGGCCTCTACAGCACATTGTACTAGCTGTGTTGGGCGGCAAACCTTGAATGTTGGGTTGGAAGGCTTAAACCCTAAAAGGAGATGTCGGTTGGCAAGCCCAATACCCAAAACAGGCAAATTGGTTGGCAAACCAAGTGCAAAAGCAAAAGAAGTTGTCAAACCCTAAACCCCAAAAAGGAGATGATGTTGCTTAGCAAACCCCAAACCTAATGCAAAATAGCGCTGGCAAACCCCTAACAGAAAATCGTGGGGGTGGGTATAGGTAGATGGGTATAGCTAGGTAGGTAAAGGTAGGTAGGGTATAGGTAGGTAGGGTATAGGTAGGTAGGTATAGGTAGGTAGGTAGGCAGGTCGGTAGGTAGGCAGGTAGGTAGGTAGGCAGGAAGGTAAATCGGTCAGTGGGTGAGTGGGTGGTGGGCAATCATAGATGGGTAGGTCTAGGTCGGTAGCTAGGTAGGTAGGTAGGTAGGTAGGTAGGTAGGTAGGTAGGTAGGTAGGTAGGTAAGTAGCAAGGAAGTAGGCGGCAGGTAAAGGTAGGTAGGTCTAGGGTAGGTAGGCGGGTAGGTAGGTAGGCAGGCAGGCAGGCAGGGAGGTAGGTAGGTAGGTAGGTAGGTAGGTAGGCAGGCAGGCAGGTAGGTAGGTAGGTAGGTAGGTGGGTAGCTCGGTAGACAGGTCCGCAGTTGGTAGGTGGGCAGGCAGGTTGGTGGCAGGCAGGCAGGCAGCCAGGTAGGTAGGTCGGTAGGTAGCTAGGTAGGTGGGTAGGTGGTAATAGTAGTAGTAGTAGTAGTAGTAGTAGTAGTAGTAGTAGCAGTAGTAGTCGTCGCCGTCGTCGTGGAGTAGTAGTAGTAGTAGTAGTAGTAGTAGTAGTAGCAGTAGTAGTAGTAGTAGTAATAATAATAATAGTAGTAGTAGCATCAGTATCAGTATCAGTATCAGTATCAGTATCAGTAGCAGTAGCAGTAGCAGTA